TAGCACACAATACGAAGCACGGACCCGACATCATTGCCTTTGCAGGAGTCGGTATAGCAGAATCTATGTTTGCTTATTGGGGAACCTGGGCATGATCCGCATGTCCACGAATTCTGATGCATGAGTTTTTCATTTTGCAAATTTTCAATTCCTCAAATCCGTGATGCGTGTTTTTGCACTTGACCGATTTTGAATCTCAAGAAATATGTGTCTCATCCGCAGCCACTTCGGTTTACAACCATTCCGACCTTTGCAATCGTGTATGCTTGATCACCTCGAAGACACGCCGATTCTCAACATGATCTTTGGACAATCCGGCACTGCGGCTCCTTCGCCGAAGCCGCTAGTGAAGAGACGTGCATCTCCTTTGAAAGAATCCCCTGCTCGTGACGAGGAAGATGAGACATCCGACTGCCCCATAGAGCAGGTCGTCGATGAGAATCCATCCGCCTCTCAACAACCAGATAATGTCAACATGGAGCAGGTAGATTATGATCGAGATACCGACAACGATGATGATCTGGAGGACGAAGAGCAACCTCCCGCAGGAAATCCAAAGCGCAAGGCGATGCCACATCCAAAACTGGTTCCGAAGTCACCACCACCGACATTGAGGCTTGTGTCAAAGGTTAAGGTGAACGACCTGCGCTTCCAAGGCGACCAGCGATGCGGACAACTCTCACATCCAACGATCGGTGGTATGTATCAGAAGAATCAGATACCGGCATCTGCCTCCAGAGGGCATCCGTACATCCAGGACCTTTCGGGAATTCTCGATTCCTCAACTTCGTGTTCGAATACTACAAGGAGTGCTCTACCATCCTCGACAAGTTTCCGGACTTCCACTTCATTCCTGAGCATGAACGAGAACATGGAGCCAAGGCATTCTGGTTGAGAGCCAGATTCAATGATTACTGGCAGCCAACACTTCAAGGTGATGGCCCACATGCAGAGAAACAATACATGGACTTCATCAAGAAGGTCTACAGTATCTGCTGCTATACCAATGCTCAGCCAGAAGTTTTCGGAACCGACATCATTCCGATGGTATGCCACAACCGCCAGATTGATCTTGACAAGACCGTCCAGAATGTTGAGCAGGTTTGCCGCTATTTCGACATGGCTCCATCCAAGGCAAAACAGATCACTGACCTCATCCTCTGGCGAATCGAGCGATTGCGCAGATTGTTTTCCGGATGTTTTCGACATGATCCAAAACAGGGCAACCACAGAGAATGCCGACGACCAGTGGACATGAATCCTGACGGATCCGTTGAGCTCTACGATGCATTGGGATGCATTACACATGCGAAGAACTTCATGGGCAATAAGCCAGGACTTCTCCTGATGGCTATGTGCCCGGATTATGGAAAGGCACGTTTCGAGATTGCTTTCGTGCATCCATCCGTGGACGGGTCATACAATGAGCGCAAGGCAAAGGGATGCATTGTTCCAAGGAATCGATGGATCGACAACCTCACATCCAGATCCGCATGTGATGCACTCAGGCCTAATGGCAGAGAATTCTTCAATGATCCAGAGATGGAATTCTATGTGAGATGCAACAGCGGTCATACTCGACCAGTCGATCTCCAATCCTTTGGACGCCCCCTTTGGTCTGGACAGAAGAGTGAACCTCGCCAAGAAGAACCGGACTACGATCTTCCAACAGAATCCATTCCTCCAAGTCCGCATCCTTCAACATCCGACGCGCCCCATGAAGATGAAGGCACAGCTCAGGCAAAATACCGAATGCGAAGGCCGGCACCACCATCCATTGAAGAAGAGAGAAAGATCAAGCCGTTCGCGCATAAGCCCATCACGTTCATGCTCCATGCAACATATGGAGAGCTGCTGATCAGCATCATGGAGAACGGGCTCAAATCTGGGAAATCTCAGTCAAACCCTTCGGGGAGAGTGCACATCCACATGGCATGCATCGACGACGTTATCCTCGACGACGACGCGTCAGAAGCAGCATTGACACATGTGCCAACAGGAACAGATGCATTGTTGATCCTTGCATTCCTCAAGGACCAGGACTACGGCATCCGACTCTCCGAAGAGCGAACAGCATTGACAGAACAAACCATCGAGGCGAAGAATATTGTTGCAGCATTTGATCCTGATGGGAACATCATAATGAGCAACAACTGGATCATGAAGAAGAATCTCGGTCGTGAAGACGTTGAGATGTACAACAGCAAGATCCAGGAATTCGCCGATGCCTTCTTCAAATATGTGAATATCGACCAACAAAATAAGGAAAAATCCGAAAAAGATACATCCACAGAGACCAAGCAGCGACGGCACTCCACCGATCAGGACGAAATTGATGAGGAGAACATGGAACCCTCCGGGGAGAGATCCGTCAAGCCGAAGGTCACCATGGAGCATCGTAATCCCGAGAACCTAGAAGAGTTCATCAAGGAATTCAAGGAGATATACCTTGAAATAGACATGAACAAGAAGGACGCCGAGGAAGATCTCAAAAGGAACTTCATCTGCTTCATGGAGAAGTACAACAGGGATCCAAAGAGAGCTCATCCCAAATTGACAGAATGCGAGCGAGCCTCATTGGCACATGTCGATCCAAATGTCAACCTCGATGAAGAAGAATTCTATTTCCACCATTGAGGAGAATGGCCATCCATGGAAGGCACAGCCAGTATCAGGATATCCGATCAAGCTTCCAATTGGATTGAAGAAGCTCAGAGCATATGACAAACCAGAGGTCATCCAAGCATTTGCTGATATCCTGGGATCGCTGATGCAGCCAACTGACCGTTCCCCTGTGGACCATCTCAAGGCACATGAGTTCACCTCATCCCTGACGATCAACATGCTCACCATGAACCACGGAAACCTTACGAGGAATCCAAAGCTGGACAACAAGGAGGTGAATAACATGGCGATGGAGGATCGACCAATCGTGAAAATGATGATGCAGAACAGCGCGCACGTCATCTGCCTAAATGAAGCAGACGCATTCCTCAGTCCCCAAGATGAGAAATCCAAGGAACTCATCAAGACGTTCATTCGGTTTGGATACAAGGGCATAGTTATCAAGCAATGGTCATCCAGACCAATCGCATGCTTTGTCCGTGGCGGACCGTCCGCAAGAGTGGAACCTGTTGGCACGGCACATTTCCACAAGGAGTCAAAACTGGGGAACTACATTCGGTATGTTCAGATGCTTCTTCGGAACCGAGAACCATTACACTGATGCCGAATACGACATCCCGACCTCTGACTGCCTGGCAACCACAGGAACATCCATGTTCATGGAATCCAAGAAGTACATTGGACCGAGGTTGCCGCCACGCACAACAGTCCAAGGACATGGGCGCAACAAGGAAATTGTCGTCATCCACATCGAGCAGAGTGATGAATTTCGTGGCGTGTTTCCAAAGTCATCCAATGACTCACTCCTCGAATTCGACAGCCGCCATGTAATGAGGGCAGACGTCCCGTTTGCTACCATTGGAGTTTTTCACGTCCATCCATCAATCAGCCATGGAGCAGCACGGGACGATTTTCAAACCGAAATCACGCCGCTCGTGACATTGTATCAATGCGATGCGATCACCGGAGACGCCAACAAGTCCGCCTACAGCAAACTCCAACACGTCTTCAATCCGGCCAACGGTCTCATGAATATCCTCATGAAGGCCCACAGATTGTGGAATGAAACGGAGAACTTGCCACTCGTGGACAGAATGGAATATGCAATGGAGACTTCCTGCACCCTGAAATCCATCGTCCGTCATCACCTATACATGAAGACTGGATCCGGGTTTGATCGAACATTCCCAGGTGTTATGATGACTTTCGTATTTGGATGGGGCAAAACAAACATCCAGCAGGTTTTCCGGAAGGAAGAGATGAACGCAATGAAAGATGATCAACTGGAAACCATGCGGAACGATCCTACGTCTGCAATTTTCGACTATCAGGTCTCATCCGCGACGCTTCAAGCACGTGAACAACGAGATGTTCATGAATGGCTCTCAGATTCCGATTCACACAGTCCGCTGATGGTCTACATCCGCAGCAGATCTGCCACCAAGCAGCGAAGCTTTGAGCGATCCAAGGAGTACCTCAAGAAGAAGCAACCCTGGACTCAGCAAGAGTACAAGGAATACAACAAGCAGCAGTGGGGCAATCCGAAGCAGTGGAAGGACTACGGCGGCGACTCGACCTGGAACGACTATGGAGACTACGGCAGTCAATCCGACAGCAGCTATCGGTGGTACCGTTGACTATCTGATGAAGCTGCCACCTTTGGCATCCATTCGACCTCCTTTGGTCTGAGTGATCCGCCAAGGAAAGAAGTTTTTCTGAAGCTCGACTGAGAGAACACCCGAAATCGGCACTACGAATTTCAACCGAATTGATCCTCACCGCCAACAAGACTATTCAGTGAGAGATCAATAGTTTCACATCCGTCCCGCATGTACATAGCGTTGTACATCATCTTTTAGATACATCTAGGTATCTCACAGAATCAGTACAGACTGTTTTCCATTTTGCAACTCAAGACATTTCATCCGCGCAGAAAACAGGATGAATCCAGTATTTCAATACACATGGCTACGGCATAAATCAAGGCTACGGCCAAAGGCCATGAAGCCAAAGATATTTCATATCTAGTGCTGGAGATCAAAAGAAATGTGTGTCTGTTTTGTGTTTGGTTTGTTGAACACTTGATCTCCTGCAACCATTGGCTCAAGGCCCTATTTCAATTGTACAGTCATCAGACGCATGGTACATTGATAAAAGGCTTGCAGACCGCTTTACAGGTATAACAGTCAATCCAAGCCACCAGGGGCAATCCAGCCTCCAATCATCCACATTGGCATATTGGACTCTCTCCGGAATAGAAAACGACCTCTACTACCACAGGGTACCAGTTCCCTTCTGGGATAGGCCCGGCAGTGGGCCTCAGGGGGGGGGACCCCCCAAAAAAAACAACGAGGGCTTGAGCGCAGCCAAGGTGCAGCCTGCCGCACTTCGTCGCGCAGGCCGTCGGCTCCGTGCAGCCGTGTCGCCTCCAGCTCCGAAACCGCCTGCCGCGGTGGAGTCGGGGCCTCCGAGGCGCTTGAGGCGGGGGAGTCGGTCCAAAACTTGGCTGCTGCAAGGACCCCCCCCGCAAGAAGTGAGGTTCACTCTTTGGGGGGGGTGAGTGGAAAACACAAAATTTCAACCAAAAAGTTGAAGTCTAAAGATCCGTTGCCCAATAGCAGTCCAGAAAATTGGGGATTGGGGGGATGAGGGGGATGGGATGGGTGGGGGGCAGGGTACGCACTTCGCCTGGTCATCAGTGCCCCTTTGATTCTTTCGGAGAGGTTCCGAGAAGTGTCAAGACATCTTACCAGAGAAAACTGGAGCCAATTCACATTGATCCAACCGGTTTTTCAGAGCTCGGCACAAATTTTCCCGCGAAACTCTGTCGGCACGGCCCATGAACTGCCCATGCGACATCCGCATCCCGCCGCCAAAAAATGGAAAGAAGCTCGCCGGACACGAGCCTCAGTTGAAGGAGACCCATTTCAAACTGGCAAGCTGGCAAGGTGAAGGCCTAAAATCCACCCAAAGAGGGAAAAGATCTGGCCAAACTGCTCATCATTCACAAGCCGGAAGTGGCTGTGGGTCAAAACCCTGTACCCCTGGTGAACATTAAAATAGGTGGTACATGTATGTTCAATCCGCCCCAAAATGGAGCACACCTGGCAAGGCTCCCTTTGAGCTTCCCCGCCTGCCGGCTCAGCGCCGCGAGCTCTGCCTGGCAGATGCCCACGAGGCAAGAAAAAAAACGGGCGGAAAAATGGAGCCCTCTTTTCGGCCGAGCTGTTTTGGGGGTTGGGTTTTCTTCGGAAACTCAAGAGACAACCACAATTTTTGGGGGGGATCAAGGGAAAGGGGTGCCATTTTGGGGGGGGGGGGTGGTTTACAATGAAACTCGTTTGCGGGGTGCTTGTTTTAAAAAAAATGACGCAAAGAGGGCCACGAAAGCCAAAGGTCGAAGTCAAACTTGAGCCACAGGCAAGCTGTGGGTGAGTCTTGAGGGGATAGCCACAGCATTCGAACAGCCCGTCCTAGGTCCTGGGTGGATTACCAGGAACAACGCGCAAACCACACAGAGCGCATAAGTGCGGAGAAACATTGGAACAAAGACTGCGCAAATGACCGGCAATAGGATCGCGGCCAATGGTGGGGAGAAGGCAAGGGGAAGAGCGGAGCGAAGAGCCGAGAAGAACGAGTAAAAGAGCGAAGCGAAGAATGGGGGAGAAGTGCGGCAAAAGGAGCGACACATGCCTTGGGGAGCTTCGGGGGCGGTCCATTGCAGGCGGTCCGAGACTACGGAGGGGGTGGGGAGAGGGGAAGTCACATAGGTGTCCTTGGGTACATAGATGGGTTTCCCTGGTAACGAATTTCAAAACCACCAGGTAAACCAGGAATCGCCATTTATTTTTCGACCAAAACCACCAAATAGGACACCTATGAGGATTACCCTTGTGCCAACCAGGGGAACAAAGGCAACTCCAATTAGGGCCCGTTCTGGATATGAACGGACCCGTTCTTTGGTTTTGACCCACGGCCATTTCGCACCACCTACGAAACCTCGGAATGATGATTCCCCTGTAAATACCAACAAACCATGGTTTCCCAGGGTTTCCAACTGGTGCGAAATGGATTTTGTCCATCTTTCCAAGTTCGCCTCGAGGGTCTCGATCCGCAGCCGCCGCCCCTCGCCAGCTCTGGCACCCGCAGCTTCCGCCGCCTGCCCGCTTGGCAAATCTGGTGGACCGCTGGGTACGGATGTGAGGCGAAGCTCATCCTTCATAGAAAAAAAGAATGGCGAGGCCCCATGATGTTGCCCCTTGGGATAGGCGCCAGGGCTCATCAATGCCCACATGGGATGACTCATCTCTCAGTACTTGTAGCGTTTTGAACGCGGATGGAGCCCCGTCAGTTGGCCCGTGGGCCTAAGTGGGACCAGATCCTGACCCTCTTTCATACAAGAAGGAGCTTGTTAGACACTGCTATCAACATGTAGAGGTTGGCCCAGCCCTTGCGGAGGTTGGCCCAACCCTGTTCCGCCTAATGTTGTTCAGTGGGCCCCTTCGAATTCCTGTCTGAAATTGGAATATAACGACCCCGGAGGAATAAACCGTTCCTATGAATGGGGGGAGGGGTGTTCCCCTCCAAATGTGATGAGCCCCCAGCCCCATATCAATGAGAAGGGGCATTTGTTTTTTTCAGGATGTGTTTTGTTTTTTCTCCCCCTCCTTTTTTGTTGGTTCTGGCTAAGACAATCAATGAAAAAACAAACAAAAAACAACCAAAAATAAATCCGCACCCTATTAAGAAACTGGATGTTCATGAATCTGGGGTTCCCACTACGCCCTGCTTACGACCCCCGACCCCTGATGTACCCTACCTGATTACCTCAGAAAGAACCATTTTGAAGGGCCCGAAAGAATTGGGAGCTTTCGGGCAATTCGTTTTTACCGAACGGTTCACTGGCGGCAACTGGGGGGCTCGTTTTTTTTTTTTAGGTTTCCCTTCTTTATCGATTTGAAGGGAAGCCAAAGCAACAAACACCCCCGTTTTTGGATGTTACCCTTCTTTACTGTTGAGCCAGGATAAATAAACCCGCCCCATTATTGGGTGGGGGGGGGGGTGTTCCCTCCAAAAGCGATGACTCCCCACTGAAAGGAATTGGACACCCCCATTTAAATCAACCAGGGTCCGATTTGAGGCATCAAACCGAGGAATCTGTTGGAATTCTACATAGCGAATTCACGCCTCCCTCCCAATCAACCAGGGGCTCTCGTTCCTGCTGCTCCTGAACTCTTTGCGGTCGAAAGGGAGAAAGATGGAGAAGCACAAAGGCAAAAAAGAAAAACAAGGCAAAGCAAAGTCTGGCCATGTCTGCACCCCGTCCCAAAAGCCCGCGCCTGCTGCGCTGCGCGTTCCGCGGCAGCCCCAACCAGCGTGCACCACCGGGCAGCTGCCACACGCCCGCGTGCGTGCCGCAGCAACCCTGGGCAAGTCTGGCTGGCGGGATTTGTCAGGTTTCGTCCCAATCGCTCACTCGCTCACTCCCTCGCGTAGTCACTCGCTCACCCAATCACTCGCTCACTCACTCGCTCACTCGCTCGCTCACTCGCTCGCTCACTCGCTCGCTCACTCACTCACTCGCTCGCTCACTCACTCACTCGCTCACTCACTCGCTCACTCGCTCACTCGCTCGCTCACTCACTCGCTCGCTCACTCACTCACTCACTCGCTCACTCACGCACTCACCCACCGACTCACTCACCCACCCACCCACCCACCCACCCACTCGCTCGCTCGCTCGCTCACCCACCCACTTACTCACTCACCCACCCATGCACACACTCACTCACTCCCTTACCCACCCAGCCAGCCACCCATGCATTCACTCACCCAACCCCATGCACACACAAATGCTTTTCACCCACCCCGCACCCACTCACTCACTCTCACCCACCCTGCCAGCCACCCACCCACGCACGCCCGCACTCACTCTCACTCAGGCTTCCTACTTCTCCTTCTCCTTTTCCTCCTCCTCCTGCTCCTCCTCCCACGCCCTCCATCTCTTCTTCTCACTCACTCAACTTACGCCGACTTTCTAAACACTCGTTTCTATCTAAGCATGAAACATTCACCACGAAACGCATCAAGCAAAGGCCCCGCGAAAAGCAAAAAGCTCCCGAGAATCCCAGTCCGGTCCTTCCCCTCGGCACCTTGCAGAGATGGCTTCGATGTCGCTTCAAACCCGCGACAAAACCTTTTGGGGGTTGTTCTCCTGAATTATTCCAGCGTAGACCCCAAACAGATTGTAAGAACACAATGATGCACTACGCAGGTCAAGCCAACAACAAATGTGTCTTCTTGAGGGACAAGTTTAGGACTTGTTTTTCTCAGTGCCTCCTGGGAAACAAAGAAAACCACCTGGAAGCAAACCCCCAACAGGATGTGTAAGGGTTCGCTGCCTCAAGTCACACTCTCTCCCTTTGCCTTGGGGACCAAAAACGCAAGTGAAGCCAATAGCCCACACACTTGAACTCCAGATGGAGAGTGCTAATCTTTCGAGTACAACTGATGAGTCTCGAGTACAACTGATGAGTCTCGGGTATGGTGAGATTCGACTCGCACAACCCGTGGCTTCCCTGTAGTTACTTTAAAAGGGGGACACACAGAAGCAACGGCGGTTCAGGGAGGGGACCAAAAGGACATTCACAAACATCACAACGGCAGGTACGTCCAACGGCGTCCCGTTGGATTTCACCAGCAAAGAAGGGCGTCTTCATTGGCGCAGGTCCCTTCAATGCTGCCCGCGCCCCCTGCTGCAACGGAAAAAGGTTTTGGTGGCAGGGTATTCTGCCACTCCGCACACACACGCCCCTCAATGAGGGGCGAGGTTTCTCTTTTTCTGCAGGAAGATCACATGCTCCAACCCGAGTCTCTATCGTTGACCAAAATATCCACCACGGCGAGGGGAGCGAGACACAGCCCTAAACCGCTCAGAAGACGGGAACGAGAGATCACCACGTTGAGCGTTACGAGTGTCACCATAGAGGACTGAAGCGAGTTGCGAAGCAGCCTGGCGATCACCATGGGAAAACGGGGTGGCGTAGGTGAACGTCTCCTCAATTGTAACGGCATCGGAGTTCCGAACTTGAGCAAGAGATTGATCATGCGGATAATGTTGCAAAGGACTCCATCCGAGACAGAATACGCTGGTATCCCTGATGCTGCCAGTCGCGGATGTCCCACGCCTGGACAGGCTCATTGGGATCAGTCACCCGCTGCCATTCCCGAAAAGAATTTTCAGGTAGATCAGGTACGGTGTCACCGCGGTGCCATCGTTGAGGCTGTCCTGGAGTGTATATCCGCACCCACTCCTGTTCCTGCCAGACCGAGTATTCGAGCCATGGGTGCTGCTTCGAATCATCGATGTCCATGTCGAAGTGAGAGGCAAGGATTGTCGCGGGCTCCGATCCAGCTGATAGAGGAACAGGCACCATGCACAACCATGTACAAACAACAACCAAGCAAGATCATGCAAGTGTAGAAACCACCCTTATTTTGTACGCTGTGCCACTCATACGAGTCTAGTCCTCAGTCAGCTCGAAGATGGGACTCGCCTTGTCCCTGTCGCTGTCGGAAGGATTCACGGGCCGGTAGGGCTCGGAGACCCCAACCGTCTCCGATGGTGTGTTTCCACGCGATGCACGTACTGGTTGATGAGGTTGGGAAGCGTGACGTGCGCGAGCTGTCAGTTGTTGAGAAATCCCTTCTTGGAGACGAGTCAGTTCTTCGGTAGAAAAATCAGCCGCATCCGAGGACCTGAGAATCGCTTCTAACAGCTGCGGTGACACACTCAATGCCGCAGACTGCGTGGCCACGCTGTGATGATCAGGAAAATACATGGAATCAAATTCATGACCAGCTTGAGGGGCAGCGACTCTCCGATAGCCCTCTGTGGCCCAGTCTCGTTTGTACCACATGGTGTCTTGGACCTGCCCACCGACTGAGTCCTGGTTGGGAGCATAGAACTCTCTCCATTCTCTGTAAGTATGCGGAGGAGGCGGAGCGTCATGTTCTTCATGTGGTGTCCATGATCCCGGATGAAAGATCTTGACCCACTGGGCATCTGGTTGTTGAGGGTCCGGACACCATTCCAGCCACGCCATGCCAACGCAACCCCGGAAAGACAAATTGATAGGTGAACGGCTGCAGACAACAATGAGTGAAAGCACAACAACTACCACAATGCAAGAGACCACTTTTGCAGCACTGCACGGCTCCGGCATTGAAGACAATCTCCCGAATCGAATTGAACTGAACAGACTCCCCAGGAAGGCGAGGACGAGCATCAGCCATCATGTGAGTTGGATGATGCCGAGGAAGAGGTCAGTCCAGCATACATGAGGTCCGGTGCGCCCGAAGCGAAAACTGGCCGCGCGATGCTAGGGCGTGGACGACCCAGACGTTGGTATCCCCTGGTGACCCAGTCCCTGTAATACCAAGTATAGAAGGTTGCATAAGACACCGGTTGCGAAACAGCGCCTGTATTGGTGCCACCCGTGCTTTCCCTGGGCCAATACACTTCGAAGTGGTGGACCTTGCGCCATTCCCGATAGGTGGTTGAGTCATCCGGGGCCGGTCCCAAGGTGTTCGCGGCGACTGGATGCCACGGACCCGGTACATAGATCCGAATCCATTCCACACTCGTGTTTGCTGGCCCATTGACGATGTCGTAGTCAAAGTAGCGAGGCAGGACCCATCGTGCTGCACCATACACTGTACAATTGAACATTTCAACCCGGCAAGCCGCTCAAAGTCATAAAGGAAGGCGGCGAACAAATAGAGACAGAACGTACACCACCAAGCAAGACAACCCAACATGGACTCTCATACAAAGCAAGCACAACCGCATCATTTATCCGACATGCTACTCAAGTGTCACTCCGAATCATTCCAAGGATCATAGAATGGTGGCGGCGACGGCTCCCGCCACGCCCCATCCGGTACCGATGAGCCCACCGAGGAATTGGCGTCTGCATTCACGAGCATCGCGAGTCCAATGGCTGGTACAGGAGCTCCAAGTCGTTGATACCCTCGTGTTTGCCAGTCTCGGTACTCCCACACATGGTAAGACACATAGGAGCTGGGCGTGACTATGGGATCCGTTGTTGTGCCTCCGGTGCTGTCTTCGGACCAGTACACTTGGAAGCGATATGACCTGCGCCACTCCCGATACGTGGAAGCGTGGAGTGGGTCCAGAACTGGAGCATCATCGGGAACGGGTCTCCAAATGCCCGGAGAGTAAATTCGAATCCATTCCACTCCTCTGTCGATCTGGTACTCGAAATACTGAGGGTTCATAGCGGCAAGACAGGCTCTCGCGCGACAGCTAAAAGCAATCGAAAGTCTGCGGTAAAGACACACATGCATTGACAACCGCGCACAGCTGCTGGAGAGTGAGGCAATTTTTCAAACTCAAGGTGAAACACAGCAACGAGGTTTGTAATATCCAACTCCTAGGTTTCAACGTCGTTGATGTCGCGCACACCGGCAATGATAGTGTCCTGGTCGTCTACGATCACAAGGGGAAAGACATTTCCGCCCATGGCGCAGGATGGCATGACAGTAATGTTTGCAAGTTGCCGATGGGGACAGCGATGGACGGCCAGCACGTTTGGAGGGGAACACTGTAAAGGGCCGTCGAGATCGCCGCGGTGCCGAAGCGGATGCTGTCCGAGATCGTTTGGACGAGCGCCCTGGACTGCGTAGTTCTTCATCACGGGAATGGTCAGTGCTGTAGATCGAGCGGCGTGTGCGCTGCGATTTCGAAGAGGTAGGGCAGGATTGTCCGCGAGGGGCTGAGATCGAGGGGCTGCGTACCGAGGGCATAAACTGTGGGTGTAGAATCACCGGTGGTGGTGGTGGTGGCGGAGGAGGAGGTGGAAGAAGCAATGGTAAACTTGGCGGGGGCGGAGGTGACGTATCCGGTGGTCGCTGCTGCATTTGGCGACCGCGTGCCTACCCGCGAGCCTCAAGTTGCTGATAGACCTCCCATGCCTGCTTGACTTCCTCAATTGGCTTCTGAAGAAACCGAGCAATGGTCTTATAGGTGGGCCTGGAATCCTTGTCTTTCTTCTGTCGCACCATCTCATCCAGCTCACCCTGTGTCCATGTCGTGAAAGGTTCACGGTATGCATTGCGAAGTGCAATGGTGAATTCTTGCAGAAGTTCCCGAGGACCATGAACCACCGTAGGGGACGGCCGGAACGACAAGGCACCTGGATGTGGACGCACCGATCCATCAGAATCCGAGTCAGGTGTCGTAGGCGACGTCTGTCCTGGCTCTCGGCCACCGTGTGTGGCGAAGGGAGCAAGTGGACGAGGTGGTGGCAGGCGATCCAACATCGATTCGGGCCGAGGGCCAGGATTGTGGTCAGTAGCATCCCGATGTGCCGCTCGAGGCGGGGATAAGGCCGGTATGTACCA